GGAGAGAATAACTCTCCAGAAAATTTTAATAGTTTAAATAATTATTACAAAGCCTAATAAAGTGAAGACAAGACTGCCAAATTTTTTTAAAAAAAAAAAAAAAAATTTCTTGAATTTATCATCTATATTAATTTCATTGGTTAATTGCAGTCTTGCAAAAATTGAAACATTTCACATGATTGTCAGGTATAAGCTTTCAGCACCATATATGAAAATATCCTGATCCATATGTGTATAAGCGAAAACATTGTTTCTGCTAATACCCAACAGCTCAGGTTAGTTTTGTTACCATTACATTCCATTTCATTACATAAACTATGTTCACCATATTCCTAATGTTTTATAGCATTCCTGGTATTTCACTAGTGTTCATCAAATTGGTAAATCAAACCATAGTTAAGGTATTCTTATATCAAGCAAATTTCAGACTTAAGATCATTTCCAGCCTAAAAATTTTGGGTCATAGTATAGCAAAAATTTCCTATATATTTAGTATATAAAAATGCCCTCTGTAACTAAAATTTTGTGCCGAAAACTTTTATTTAAAGGTTGGAAGTTAGTTAGCATAGTAAAATTTTGTGTTATTTACAAATTTTTGCATTTTCTTATATTTTTTGCGGTTGTTTTGTTACACAAAATCCTGTAATTTTATTGGATCCGATCTACGAAATTTATGATCGGAAGTGATCTTCAGCGATCTTCAGTCCGGAATTTGCTTGACATAAGGGCCGAAATTACTATGAATTACTGCAGATACTAGTAACTTTCAGTACAGTTTTCTCTCGAACTGGTATAATAATTACTAATTTAGTTTTTTATAAAAGATAGAGCACTTCGTATAGTTTAATGTAATAGAGCTATTTTTTGAATTTTTCTATTTTATGACTAGTAAATTCTTTAACAATATCAATAAGCTTTAATTAAATTTGACAAACATAAAGCTATTGAAATATGTAAAAATGACGTTATTGTTGAAAAGAGCATTATAAAAGCTATCGATTAAAAAAAAATTTAACATAACTATCTCATAATTTTTACTCAAAAAGTGTACCTACATCTATTGATTTGAAAAAATTTTACTACAGTTCATTGAATAAAGAAAGTTAATTTTCTGAAATTTCTGAAATTACTAAAATGCCAGTAAAAAAATCCTCAATAATAAATATTATATGTAACCCTAACTATGGTTTGATTTACCGATTTGATGAACACCCTAACGTTCCTAGCAACTTTAAGCATAATTTAAATTAATTTGAACCAGTAAGGTTCTAATTTTGGATGCAAATCGACCATTTTCTAGAACTTGTGCTTACAATGATATATACTGTATGCAAATAAGTGCATCTATATAATTTGAGTGCGATATAACGATTTACTATGATAAGTTTCAGCACTTATTTGATAAGTTGTTTCAATTCTCAATGATCTATCTAAATCCAAAAGCGCTTCTTAGTACCTATTCATTATTAGATCATGAAATATTTCAACTGGGGTAAAATCGCCACCCAAAAAAATTTCACTGGCCAATCGAATTTCAAGATCACGTGTAACGTAGCACGATCAGGAAAATTCAAAACAACGTTCGTTTTGTCAAAAATCGCCTATAACTCAAAAATGAGTCTATGAAAGAGCCTTCTGCGCATTAGTAAAAAATTTTCCTTGCAAAATTTTGATATAATAAAGCACTCTAAACCCTAACCTAGAAGCAACACCCTAACCCTAATCTAACAAACCAAAATTTTATTTCGAAATATAGTTTGAAATTTTTTTGGGTGACGATTCTATTCTAATTAAATAATTCTTATTATTTATTACTTCAGGTTTAAAAGGTCAGAAATTAATTTTTAATTAGCAAAAAGTGATTCAAAATTATGGGAGTTTAAAAAATTCCATTCTGTTTTGAAATTCCGAAATCAGAAAACGAAATAGATGTATTTTTCTGATGATATATTATTATATAAAAAATAGAATTTATAAATCACTTATTTCAAAACAGACACGTCACTAATTCAATTCAAAATCAGAAACTGAACATTGATTTTGAATCACCCTTTTGACCATAAACTATAAACATGTTTTATTAAGATAAATAAGGTACAAGACATGTAGTTCATTATGTCGAAGAAAAATTTTAAATCGTGAAAACTATTTAGTGAGCTCATTATCAGTTATCAAACTTATAATTATTAAAGCAAATAAAGGTATTTTACACTTTTATTATAGATCTTTGTTGTCAATACATTAACATATACAATTATTATATTTTATTAATTAATATCATTATTCTTATTATTCAGTAACATTAAATCACACCACTGGTGTTCAGCACCACATATATTTTTAATAGGGTTAGCGCTGTTATAAGTTAAGATAAGGGTTAGTATTAGAGGTAAAATTTAAATTAATATAATTTACTTAGAACACCCGGCATTAATTATTTAGCTAGCTTTTGAGTTGAACACCACTGGTGCAATTTAGCAAAACCGTTATTTTTTTATTCTTATTATTTATCTTAATCTAAAATCTTACGAGAATACTATTTCGTTCACTGGGGAAATCACGACTGGGCTGATATTTGAGAATGTTTTAAATTTTATTTGTTTAGCCCTAAAACTATTATATTTTAATAATTCATATTAATAATCAACTTAATTATAAAAAAAGATTTTATAAAAGAAAATCTTTTAATTAATGCAGATATTGGCGTTAATTATGAATTAGCATTAAATCGAAATATTTTGGAAGTGAATGTGATAGAACAATATTAAGAATTACATTAATACAGTATAAAGTTCGGCAGACCTATATACAAATTTCATATTTTAAAGAAAAAATTGGTCAATATTGATAATAAAATTTTATTATGCAAATATAATTGTTTACGAAGACTAAAATAATGTTTTTTTTTAAAAAAAAAAACTGCTATAAGAACTCAATAAGTTTTCAATATTTCGTAATACTATCCGTTATCATTTTCGCGGTAGAAACTGTTACGGTTTAAGCCGTATAGTCAAATAATTGACCCTATCTGTTTACTGATAATAATTTCTTAAATGTATAAATAATATTTGCTGACTTTTAAGATATTAAACTTTGCGCTTACGCAATTTGTTTACGTAATAAAAACGCTTAAAATTATACGTAATTAATAAACTACTAATTTGAAATATATATTAAAAAAATTTATTTGTTTATAGACTTTTTAAGATATTAATATTTCGCAAACCAGGCATTTGAATTTATCTCTCAAAAACGTCGAAAAAAATGTCAAAGTGCAGTTTGAAAGATGCGTTTGACGATCTCAATAGTTTACTTAACACAAAACCAATAGAAAATGAAAAGAAAAAGCGTGGAAGACCACCAAAGAAAGAGAAATCTATTGCTGCTAAAGAGTCTGTAAACAATAATTATCTTAACAAGATATGTATTGACTCAACTTGTTAATAAATTAAATATTCCTTTTGCTTATAATTTTCGCAGATTACAAAGAGCACTTCAAAAAATATTAAAAATATTAGAGGATGAGGTAAACCAATTATTCATGTCATTATTTAAAATAATATAATTTACAATTGCCTAATTATTTACACTACAAGCTCTCGAGACCAAATCTCTTTTATGATACCAACACGACTACTTATCAACAAGCTATAAGTGATTTGGGATATTTGCTTCATGAATACAAAGATACTAAAGATGTTGCAAAGAAATCAGCTGAAATATTGAGCCATATCGCTTTAATAGTTATTAATAGCGGTTTGCTTGAAAATGGTCAAGATGATTGGGTAAAAATTGTAATTGAAACGCTCTCTTTAATTGAGGTACGTACGTACATACGTAAAATTGTAGCTATACTTCAAAAAAATGATCGTAATAAAATTTCTTTTCTTTATAAGAAATTTGTCCAGCAAGATGATATAGGTAATATATTCGATTCTCTAAAAATGCTTATAATGTTATTTTTGTGTAAAATATAAATAAATATATCTAAATTTAACAAGATCGAGAGACATTTGGAAAACTTTGTCTCAAAATTCTCTCACAAGCGTTGTTAAAGCAACCTTTCCCAATCGATGTCAGAAGAATGGTACACAAATTAATAATTTATTTATATTGATCATGCATATTATTTTGAGCAATAGAATTCTTATATGAAAATTTTTCAAGACAGCAAATGTTATCAATGCCCTTCTGACGGGATGCAAAGAAAACAAAAAGTTATTAAGCCAAGAACAGTTCTTTAAAATGTATCTTTTATAAAGCTATAAGATTACTTTGTACATTGATGCTACAATTTTTTTTTTTTTTTGTAATAAAATTTTAACTCTTTTGTTCCAATATAGTTCTGATCTTGCTTCCTCTATGATATCTGCGTTAGGTGTGTATTTACTTTTAACTTGATTAATCAGGAACGCGAAACTTAAGTATGTAAATTCCTGTCATTTGTTTCATTTAGATTATGAGCTTCAACTTCGCCATCTTGAGATCCTTTTCAGGTTATGTCCAAGAGTGCAAAAAGATCGTGAAATTTTTGCAAATAAAGCATTTATGGATCAAACTATTGTAACAAAATTTCTTGGTATTACTGCCAACGAATTTTTCGAGGTACATGATTATTTTGACGTTGATATTGTATTCAGTATAAAAAATTCGAAGTGCGGATCGCACATGAAATTTTCTTATTTTGTTTGACTGATTGATATTATAGGATTCGAGATATTTCTTGAATGAGATCAATGCAAATAATGATGGGGTATCAAAAACGTTTGTATATTTTTTTATATATTATCTATGCTACTGTAAGCTCTTTACATAATTCTCACAATTATTGCTGCTGATAGACCAAAAACTTTTAAAGTTTCACGCATGAAGTATAATAAATGTGAATTATATAGTCCCGAGGGTCAACGTTACTTCTTTGTGGATTTTAATAAATGGACAATATCTATGACAATATCCACAACAATACCCACAGAGGTTAATTTATATTTTAATAAGTGCTCTTTTTTCATTTATAATATCTCCCCTTATACTAAGTCAGCGAAAAATATTTCAGGAGGATGATTCTACTGATATTGATGTAATAGATATCAAATATTCAAAAATATCATCATGGGATTTTCAATGTAACTCTGGTAAATAAATAAGATAAATAAATTAAATAAAAAAATAATTTAATAATATGTAAATTGATTCATTTTTCCTTTCAATTATTAGGCCTAATCTTGAAATTATACCTTTCCGAACCTTTGAAACTTGGTGGTCAAAATCCTTCCGTTAATGAGCATGTTCTTAATATGACATTTGATCCTGTTGAAAGCAGGATAAAAGAAAGCATTGAAAGAATATTTAATAATCAAAAAGTTGTGAGTTTAAAAAAATATATTATTTGATTATTTATTCATTATTTAAATAAACAAATTATTATATTTATATCTTATTATTTATAATCCAGAAATCAAGAACACAGCAACCAAAGGTGTCTGTTTCCATAGGAATTTTACAGCCGCATTCTTCTTCATTCAATGCAGCAACCGCTCTTGATACTCTATCGAAATCTTTAGAAGCTTCTAAAACACCTACATCTAAACGAATTGATAGACATATTAACATACCAAAAGAAACAGATTTCGATGAAGAAGCTACTCTAGTGAATGTTGATGAATCTCAAAATAATTTATCTACATTCAGTAATATTCTTGCGAAAAGTCGTAGTCAATTGTCAAAAAATATTACACCACCTCCTTTACCAATGTCATCTTCGTCAAATGAAAATTCTCCATGTAACAACACAAATTCTATGGATCATAAATCAATAACGCAAATACTAGAGAATAATTACAATGTCAATCATAGATATGCTTTTCCACCACCAAAACAGCGAACAAAACCATTGAATTTGTCTGCTTCAAAGCAAAAAAACAAGATTAATAATAATGTTGATCTTGTTATTGAAAAAGACTGCGAAAATTCAATATTAAACAATGAATGTTCGAGTCAAAGTGCCACGCGAAGTTGCCAGAACGTTTCAACATCTGTCAATGATGAGATAAGAAGGTCGACCGTAAATAGTATACAAAAGCGAACAGATCAACCGAAATACGGTAAAGAAGATATAGTAAAAAGACAACCAGAATTTAGAAATGATAATACAAAGAAATCAAATGGTAAAGATCTTGAGAAAGTGCGAAACCAATCAAACGTCGCAAAAAATCACGATGTTGCTTCAGTAAAAAACGACAAACGACTTGGTTTACCACACACAAACGAAAATCGCAACCGCAACTCTTTAATTGGTTACAAAGGAAGTGCTACAAACCCTGAAATAGGTCACGGAAGGAGTAAACGAAAAACTCTGGATTTAAATGATGACGATCCGGAAGACCCAGAGCAGTATCGAAATGACGATCAAGTCAAAGGCAATTCTAATTATCGAGTTGTGACAAAAAAAGGAGGAAAAAAATTAATTGTGGTATAAGAATGAAAGGATTAAAACCGTTTTATTATTTGTCACGATTTTGTTGCTTAAAATTTTAAAAAAATTTAGGTCGATGATGATGAAAGCCAAACAATGAGCGAAGAAGAATTTTGGAATCCAAAGCAAAAAAATAATTATGATTCCTCCACTGATATTGAACATGTAGATGTGACCGATGTACAACGTTTAAAATCAAAACATCGTAAGTATACTATACTATGTGAATTATATTTATGAAAACAATATTTATTTTCATTTAATTATAGAAAAGAATACCGAAAATAAGGGTGAAAATAGGCATGGTAATTCTTTTTTTTTAAAGTAATTTCAATTTCATCTTTTAGTTGTAATATTTTATAATAAATTAAATTTTACTATAGTTTCTTTTATAAGACGGTTACAAGCATTTACAAATTATTTGGGTGCAGATGAGGATAAAGATGACGAAGAAATTTCGGTGCAGGATGGTATTTTAGTGTATTTTATAATATCAATTGCAAAGGAAAATTTAAATCGCTTAATTCACTTTGATTTATTGTTACAGATATATATATTATTCATTCACGAGATAGTTCACCTACTATTAATGATAATGACGAAACTGTACAAAAAAAGATTAATGAAATTGAGACTAGTAAGGAACACTATGAAACAATAGACGATGGCACTGATAATGAAGATAATTTCATCCCTTCCAACAAAGTCGTGAATGAACAAATTAAATCACAAAAATTTGCAGATGAACAGTTGGATGAGGAAATCGGAAGTTTATTGCAACTTGTTGGCGAGGTAATATATTTGTCGTAGAAGAATATAAAATGAATATAATTTAATACTTACAATCAAATAGGCAATATTTAGACAATTTCAAAGGCAAGACTCTACATTATTTCAAGCCTCAGAAAATGCTATAATTCATAGTGAGACAAAATTAACTCAAAGTTTGGAAAAACAGTTTGAACGCAAGTACGATATTTTCAAAATTGTATGTTATATGATATTTGCAACTTTCATATATTAAAAATATTCCGTCAAATGATAACTTTTCAGGCGTGAAGTATTGAATACATACAGGAGCAATTATACATTAATTGCATCGGAATCTCAACAGATGATGAACAAATTGAAAGAAGGAAGAAATGATCTAGAAACTTTGGAACAGACCTTGATTGATATGGAAAAAATGGAATTAGACTTTGGAATAAATATCGAATGTAATTTGTAAAGTTATTGAATCATTAGTTAATCGCTTTTAAGTTATGTAAATAAAGAAATGCAATATATACAAAATCATGAACTTTTAAACAATTTGCAATTACTTTCGTATTTTAATTAAAGTATTTAGGAATTTTCTAACATTAATATTCAAATGTTCAGTGTTTAGCCGCATTTTAGTTAATTTATTCAAAAACCTACCAAAGTTTATTGTTAGAGGTCATTATTCTCTGGGTCAAGTTAGAACCCTGGTCAATATCAAGATACTAGGTATACTATTAGCAAACTATAAGATATACTCAATTTGATTAGTTTTTATATGATATAGACTTTTATTTTTTTATATAAGCGGTATGCCTTACTGGCTATTTTAAATTCTAACATACTATTGGCATGCTACTGTACTATAGATACTGTATACCATGCCTGTGATTTTTGTATTACTCACTCTATTAGTAAGGTATTGTATTTATAGAGTTGTATTTATAAAGATTTAACTATAATAAATTAATTTATTTATAGCTATAGCTATACAGTATGTATTGGTTAGTTAGCTACTATATTATAATCATAAATAAAAATTATATAATAAATATGGTAGTACTCTTTTAGACAAAAATATTTTGGGGGTTGGGATCCCATAGTTTAGTAGTAACCCTTCATGAGCAGGTTTCAAGTTCAAGTTCTAGTAAATACAGATTTTACAAATATTTAAATATATTTACTATAAGAAGTTCAGGTAAGTACAAGTTTGAAATAGGAATTTCCGAAAGAAGGTTTATTGTAAAAAAATAGCACTATGTACGTATAATAAGTAGATATTACAAAAAATTTTATTATACAAAGGTTGTATATGTAAATTCTTGGTAGTATCAACAACCTCTAAGCTAACATTAGAGATCTTATTAGAAGGATAACCAAATAGTAACCAAAATTGAAATGATAAGAAAAGTAGTAAAACATAAAGAGATTTGTAATAAAGAATTGGTCTTACTAGCTACAAGACATGTTTTTTATAATTATCTTTAATAGTAGATTGATTTTGTTATAAAACATATATTTAGTTTAGTTTTTTTTTTCAATTTGGCAATCTTGCCAATACTTTATTAGGTTAAATATTTAAACTTCTAGATAAAAATATAATTTTGACTAAAGTTATCTAAAGTTTATCTAAGTAACAAGTATTAGCTAATCTAGTTCTTTGTAATACTAAAGTGCCCAAATTACCCATGTTCAATCTGCTATAGTAAAGTTTTTCTTTATATCAAAAAACCCTGCAAATGAATTCTTTAATATATCACTGAATAGTATTTATGGCTTACCAAAATTGTCTTCTTTTCGGATGTTCTATAGAATAGATGGGCAATATAAAAAATAAACTCTGCTAACAATTAGTAACCATTAATAAATATTTAGTAAAGTTGTGGAGTTTGGAAAGTTTTTCTTTTTCTAGCTTCCCAAGCAAAAGGATTCATAGTTTAACTAACTTATAAAAAAAAATACTAATACTATTAAAGATAAAAGAAACAAACCAAAAAGAGAAAGAAAAAAACTACCTAAGCAACAAGAAAACAAATAAAAAAACAAATGAAAAAAGAAGAAAAAGGCAAAAAAAAAAACAATTTATAAAAGCACTATTGTAGTCCATGCTAAATATAGTTATAAAAATTATATACTGTGATGTAAATTCTAGATATTCTATTGAGAATATCAAAAATTAGGTTGCAACATGTGCTGAAGGGATAGGTTTTACATAAAAGAAATTTGGACAAAAATTGTTTTTGTATTATTTATATATTTATATATTTATTTAATAAAGAATTATAAAATTTGTATAAAACATATATTGAACTTGTTATTATATAAAAGGTGAAAATAATATCTTTAAATACATACTGTATTTTTTAAAAAAAGAACAATAAATCTAATAGATTCTCTAAAAAATAATTAGGTTGTCTGGGTTGTATAGGTTGTATCCCTTAAGCTGTAGAGTTTGTATAACAATTTTAGCTTAAAAATAGCATAAATTTAGTTATAATCTATTTTTTTTAATATTTAAAATATTTAAATAA